CGTTATTGCCTCTGTATAAGTATCATATATTCAGAGGTTATTCCACAATTAATTCAATACAACAGATGTACAATAATGATGTTCAAAATATAATTAAATAAGCCAAGAATAAACCGATATATCTCTTTCTTTACTTCATAGTGACGTTCACAGGTGCCGTTTTAGCCTCTGAATTTAAGATACATAATCAGAGGTTTTAGCTCATGCCTCTCTATTCTGTGCTCAAGTTATTGCGACCATGGACTCACTATTTCAACAGTAACAAGGAGTATCCTATACATTTCAAGTCTGTGGGGTTACTGTAGTTGAGTTAGAGAAAATACGCACTGACAACATCACTAGCCAGAAAGTTTTCATATCGCCGTCGTCAAAGTTTCTGAGAAAAGAGCAGTCATGAAAAGAATGTTTGAGGAACTAATGGTTTTGCTGGTACTGGCAACACTAAATTACTGTCTAATAGTGTAGCTCAGTTGTCAGTAGGTTATGTTTGTTGTAATTTTGTTTTAAAAGTGTTAATTCGAGTTATTTTTTGAAGTGGGAAGGTCGTATTACGAATTTGACGACGTTTACGGTCAAACAGCAAAGCTAGCGGGTAAGTAAACATTGAGAAATAAATAAATTCTACTTCCGTGATAATCGTTTCTGTTTTCGTTCAGTCTACGTCTGATTTGATGCATTCTTCACTTTGTGTTAAGGTTATTAAATTCACTAACAACTTATACTACGCCCTACAGATTTAATACTTTTGTTATACTATTAATAATAGAGATAGAAGTGAGTATAATATATACTCACTTCCAATGTGCCAAAAGTTATTTTTTCTCCGGGAAAACTAAGAAAACTATTAGTGGTGAGAGAAAATATAAATTTTGATGTTGGTCATGAACGGCAGATTTTCAACCATTGCCGCAAAACGCGAATATTACTTGGCTGAAGAAGCATTTCAGGCAATTGAAAAACGAATTGCCTGTGATGGTGTTGTGCAGATGACGATGATTCTAGTTCCAGTTAATCCTATGAGGCAAGCAGCAACCAGCAACTCGATGACGCAGGAATTTTCATTTTAATTAAAGTTTTTGGGCTCTGGAAAATAATAATAATATAATTACTATCTTTCTTTTTATGTCCTATCTTTAGTAAGTATCCAAAAAAAGGCTGGTCATAAGTGGCTTGAGTGTGAACTAGCCTGGCCCTCGAAAATCAAGCATGACCTTTTTTTTAATTTCATTATATTTTTATTTTTTCAATTTATAATTCTAAAAAAATAACTAGAAAATAAAACAGTATTTTTGTAATTCCAGCAAAGTATCATGCAGATTCAAAAAAACTTTAGGTGATGTTAAGATAAGACAGAAACTCTGATAATAATGAAACGTATAATAATAATAATTTATTTGTCAAAATACGGTTACAATAGTTGTTACATATTTCTTTAGTTACCAGCATATTTTATTAAATGTCAACGTGCAAATATTTCAGGAAATTTATATTAATAAGGTCCAGTGACGTCTAAATAAATAAAATTAATTTAAAGGTAATAATAATATTCAATGTCACAAAAACTACTACTACTAATCTATTCATTATTAAAATAGTAAAGAAAAATTGCATCAATATTGAAAGAAAATGTCAGAAAATTACATATATTTATCATTCACATATTTTGAACTATTATATTAAATACACACGAATGTCAAACATACATTTTTATTAAGCTATTGTATCATTTAAAAAATCATTAATTGAATAGTACATTTTGTATGGAAGTCATCTAATTATACAGTATTACTTTTAAACGAATATCAAAGCGTTTTATTCGTATAATGGGGATACCATGTAATCGATGGTGGCGACCTCCTTTTTCATGACTTTATTGACAGACTGTAGTTTGTTTTTATGTCTGGGAGAAGTATTGCTTAGTTTCCATAAAACCCTCTCGTGGTTCATGCTTGCCAAGCAGTGCTTGTATAGCAACGTTTGCGAATACGCAAACTTTTTTGACATTTATAGTAGTGTCGATTCTGGCATGATTCTTTGAAATTTGACAAGAGTGTATCCTTGTCGATCTCTATACAGTATGAAAAGGAGAGACTAATTTTATATTTTGTTTTAATTATATTAAAATCATGTCAGAATCGACACCAATGTGTAATTAAAAAGAAGATTGCATATCCATCGATGCTTTTCAGAACAAGTATCTTAGTCGCATTATAAGAAAGCAGTAGTGGATCACTAAATGGCTCGGTGATTCGTCACTTCCATCTGTCAAAAGTAGTTTGCGAATAGGCCTACTGGACTGATCTGTGCTACCCGTGCTAGTACAACGGTGCTACAAAACGGGCCCATGCCCATGGGGACTACATCACGAGAGAAATATTTGCCATCGAAGACTCAAACTAATATTTAAGCTTCTTGATAGCAACTAAACGGCAAAATTGTTTGTAACAAACCAAAAATTATATTTAATAAATATATGACGACCTCCGTGATCGAGTGGTTTGTACGCCGGGTTTCATGGTGTCGCCAACTCGAGAGGTCCCGAGTTCGAATCCCGGTGGGGGCAGATGTTTGTGTGATGAATACGAGCGATACGTTCAAATGTACTCCAGTCATGGATGTTTAATATGTATTTCTATATAAATATACTTACATATGTACTGGTGTCGATTCTAGCATGATTCTCTAAACTTAAAACTAAATTTAACATCAACCTCTCCTTTTCAGTCTGTATAAAGAATGACAATGATGCACTGTTGTCAAATTTAAGTTTAGATTTAGAGAATCATGGCAGAATCGACACCACTGTATATGTATTCTATACGTTACCCTAGTATCCCATAACACAAGCCTTACAGTGCTTACTTTGGGGCTAGGCTAATTGGTGTGAGTGTTGGAAATATTTATTTTAATTTTATTTTATTTTATATAAAATAAAAATATATAAAATAATAAATTAATCAAATAAATCCAAGCCAGGGTGATCCATTTGTTAAGCTATTTCTATTGTTCTTGACCACGTGGCGACCAAGCTTTATTCATCGGGCTGCACCTACTCACTGATTTTGCAGCACTGACAGTGGCACCCACTAAATAACTCATTTATCCGAAATGTAAATCACTGTCGGCTTTTTAATTATTATAATATATCGCTCAATAACTCTTCTAAACAATTCAGCAATAAATATATAATTATTTCCAACACTTATACCAATAGGGGTGACGACGGGGTAAAGTAAACGATATTATAATATAATATATATTAGAAATTAGATGATCAAAAAATAATGGACACGTATTTTTTCTTTGAACAATCAATCAAAAAATGACAAAGATAAAGCGCGTCAAAGTTTGGGAGTAGGGGCTCGTGACGTCACTTTTAAGTGAAAATTCTTAGAGCATTTATACGCTCTAAGTGAAAATTGTACCGAAACGTGACGTCATGCAACTTTTTAAATCAATACTATATCTCTGCAATGTTTATATTATGTGAAAAAAATACGTGTCCAATACTTTTTGATAATCTACCTGATAAACGAAGAAAAAAAAATAGTCGTCATCCCTATTAAACTAGCCTTAAAGTAAGCACTGTAAGGCTTTTGTTAAAGGGTGCTAGGGTAACGGATAGAATACATGAACTCTAAATATATAAGTATATTTATAAAGAAATACATATTAAACATCCATGACTGGAGCATAAATCCTCGTATTCATCACGCAAACATCTGGACCTCTCGAGTCGGCAACACCATGAAACCCGGCGTACACACCACTCGACCACGGAGGTCGTCTAATAAGTAATATTGTGAATTCCCTTTATTTAGGACCTAACCTTGGGTATACGAGGGACATTATGGCAACTACTGTGGTTGCATCGCTCACCACAACTGGGCTGCATTTCTACGTGGAGGGAGCTCACCGAAGTGACTGCCATGCCAGATGGCCAGGACGATGGTTGGTCAGGATTTAGTTTAGTGAACTACGGTTGCTATGTTTTTTTTGTACTCACGCTCTGGAGATTCATTCCTTATTCAACTAGTGACTAAAGCTTTTGTAAAGTAAAACTTTCTAAATTACATATTTTTAATAATTATAAAACGGTACACATACTTTTTATGAAGAATGAAATCATAATACATATTTCAATTGAAACATCTCGCTACCATCTCTATTAAATCTGTGCCCTTAAATATTTACAACACTCATCCTAGCCCCAAAGTAAGCAATGGCATCGACTCTGTCAGGATTCTCTAAATTTAAAACTAAATTGAACATCAGTCACTCCTTTTCATTCTGTATAGAGAATGACAAGAATACGCTGTTGTCAAATTTAAGTTTATGTTTAGAGAATCATGTAAGAATCGACACCAATGTAAGGCTTGTGTTATGGGATACTAGGGTAACGGATAGAATACATAATATGTATTATATACATATATATCATACAAATATATTATGTTGTAATATTATATAATAAATAATATATTATATTGTACATACATAAGTTAATTTATATAGAAATACAATTTAAACATCCATGACTAGAGTACAAATGCTCGTATTCATCACACATCCCACCGGGATTTGATACCGGGACCTCTCGAGTAGGCGACACCTTGAAACCCGGCATATAAACCACTCAGCCACGCAGGTCGTCAAATAAGTATATAAATAGAAGAAGACAAATAGCCTTTGTTATGACTTTCTTACTATATCCGGGTTGATTTTGTTACATCTCACAAAATAAAATAGACTTTAAAGTAATTGCACAAGGTCAATTATAAAAAATAAATATTTTGATCAGTCCTGTAAATATTATGTCCATGAATGTGCTTTTTTAATTAATTACGTTGTTGTGTGAAAAAATCTACTGATTATTTATTTACCACTGTTTTTGCTGTAAAATAAATTTTATCATTTTATCTAGAACCCTATCCCGATGCTTTTTTTTTTGTGTTTTTGGGTGTTGTTTGAATTGTTTTCTGAACGAAACCGCATTTTGGCTGCCATTTGCTTTATTCTGTCATTCTTTTGATGTTATTGAATAAATGTTTTTGTTTTAATTATTGCAGCCAGATTTATTGATCATTATAGGTTGCTGGTGTTTTTCTTTAGGATATATTATTATTTTCCACGGGATTCTAAGTTAAAATGTACCTTGAATCATATAAAATTCAGTGTAAGCCTTTACTACTTTTTTGTGGTTTCGTTCGAATTTATGTGTCAAAAGAACACAAATAAATAAATTCATTAAACTACTACACATTTGTGTAAATATTGCTAGAACAAACCCAAATTTCCTTAAAAAAAATATATTAATTATTAATTTTGACAGATGTCATTGTCAGTTTATTACGAGATAAATTTGAGTAACAACAAAAGATGATTTTGTTGTTTTTAATTGTAAATTTGTGATTAAAGTATATCTACGTAGTTTTGTAGTTAATTACTTTGTCTGATTATATAATAGAAATTGTTATATTCATCAATCTGTGTTCTTTTCAGTATGATGCAGAGGGACCAAATTAATTTTACTGCAAACTCTTAGTAAAATTATCTTTATGATAAAGTTGTAAAATGAATACAGTATGTCTTATTTGAGTGCTTCAGAAAATGTTGGGTAATATCTTGTAACAGTTGTTGTAGTTAGTTTTAGGCTACTTTTATTGTGAACCACACATTTTGCCACTATGGCTTTGTTTACAGAATCTATTAAAGACATGTTTCCTAACGCGTTTGAGAGTACATATCTATGGCAAAAGTAAAAACCGGAAATCTAATCATATATATGTATTAGTTTCAGTGGTATTCCACAAAATATATCAGATGCTAGCTGCGCAACGCAGTATAAGATGGCAGTTGAGGGTGTGGCGGGAAGCTGCAGCGGTGACGTAAATATGTACATACAAGATAGTTCTGGAGATGAACAGTCATACATTACACATCTCAATGATAATTTCTTCCATACCAAATTTAAAATTGATCCCAACGAGTTATATACATTTCATGATTCAGATGTTATTGCTAGTGAGATAACAGTTAGCCACACTGAAGACGCTTTTGTATTTTCTGAAAATGTAGATGCTAAGGGTAAAATGTTGGATAGTCCTAGTAAAGACATAGATCTTGTTGGAACACTGGCGAATGGAGAAATCAAAGAGGAAATAAAGTTGGAAATTCCTAATGGTCATTATACATCATTAGCAATGAGCTCCGATTCACTGTCAAATTCCAATAGTACAGTAGTAGATACAAAAATACAGAAGATCAAAAGTAATTCTGCCAAAGAAGCAAATGTTCCAGGTTCAGTAGCTGAAGTTCGCCGTGCAAATGTTCCTAGCCCTAAAGGACAAAATTCAACAGTTGCCTCTATTCCTAGCAACAAGAGCAGTATTAGTAATTCTAATTTGAACAGTGCAGTGACTCCATCCACCTCAAAGTTGTCTGGATCTGAAACATTCCTGGATGTTTTTAAGAGGGAGCAAGGGCTTGTTGAAAATATTGTTATAAAATCTGAACCTGCAGTTCAACCCTCAGTTAAAATACCTTTTCCTACCCCCAAGAAACCTCATACAGGTAAAACAACATTCTGAAGTGTTCAACAACATAAATAAATATAATAAATATTTAGAACCAGTAGTAATAATGAATTGTTGCACTTTTAAATTTTTTGTTTTATGGAAATAAGGGAAAAACTGTAAAATAGTTCAATTACATAATTGTAAATCACCCTTATTCATAAGTGTTTTTTCACATATTTATCTAAATGACAATAATAACATACAAATAAAGCTTAAATAATATGCAAATATTGCATAATGTGAATATTCAAATATTACTTTATAAAAATAACTTGGTCTTGAATGAGTTGTTGACATTTTCATGCACCATTTTTTCTGCAAGAATTTCAATATAGCAATTGCATGGCCAGCATTTTATTCACCCCTCCAAAGGAGGGCTTAAAACTTGTTAAGGCATTCATTTGTCTTTTGAGTTTTAGTTGTTTGAGCATTGCAACAAAATTATTAGTATTTGTTTCTTAAGTTTTCACGCACACCACTCAGTCAATTTGTCTCTCTCCTTTATAAATTTAGTCATCTTTTTTCTTAAGAGACTCAAAACAAATGAATATTTGGAACTAATGTTTTAAATAAAACAAAGCTACAATGGTTTAAATGCATTAATTTATTTGTTTTTTGATGTTTCGCATTCATTTCAGGCTGCTTCGTCAGAATTATGATTTTACGAAACATCAAGAAATAAATTGATGCATTAAAACCATTGAAGCTTTGTTTTACTTTATAAATTATTAGTGCCAAAAATCCTCTTGTTTTGAGTCTCTTAAGAAAAAAGATGACTAAATTACTGAAGGAGAGAGACAGATTTTCATATGATTTTAAATTGTATATACTGACAGAAAACAACAAATATAACCTTATTTATGCATTAAACTGTTAGTTTTATAAATTTATGTAAACTTACTAAAAAGGTAACTTGTTAACTTGTATTTATTTTAGGTAAAGCCAGTTCTCACCCAAAATCACGGAAAGGGCGAGGTCCAGCAGTCCATGAAGCTTTGCAGCGGATATCAACAAAGCGTGCTATACCAATTCCAATCAAGTCGTGGCATGCTCCAGGAGAAGAACTCTTTGATTGTGGGCCCTTAGCAGATAGAAAGGGCTGTAGGCAAGTGGAGAGCAGCAGCAGTGATGATGATGCCATGCCAGAATTCGGTAATTTTTCTTTCTTTAAAATGTTATTGTTTGTAGTATTATTCTAGCAGACAGGAAAGGTTTATACATACTACATTTTATTTATAATAATTATAATACTTGTTATTGAAAGACTTAGATTATGTCCACTCAACTATTACCCAGCCTAAAAGAGATACTGTCTTAATTGTTTGCAAAATAGAATCATATGTCAAGCACTGGTCAGAATTAGGGATGTTGCGGATGCAGATATTCTCACATCTGATGCAGATTTGAAGAGGCTCACATCTGCGGATGCGGATCTGCACAAAAAACTTCAGAATGGTTAGGGTAAAAAAAGACAGTAATATTTGTCCTTTCTTTATTTAATAATAAAGTAGTGCGTGAATTGATATTACTCATTAGGCGCGTCTACACAGAGCGAGCAGCCCCGCGAGGCAATTGCCGCGCGAGGCAGCTCGATTAAAGCCGCGTATCCACTAGAGGTAGCCTCGGGTCGAGCGGCTGCCTCACTCCGAGGCTGCGCAAGTGGAGACGCTGCCTCAACCTGAGGCACGCCGCGACGCGAGGCAAATTCGTCGCCGCGAGCCGAGCCATATTTTGTCGGTTTCTGTGCCGTGCTCAAAGGCGCCTCAGTCCGAGCCGTGTGTTTAATGGAGACGTTTTGGCTTTTAACTGTGCAGTGCGCCGCCGGCGGATCAAGCTGAGGCGACACGCCTCGAGCTGATCCGTAGCCGTTGCCTCAGAGCGAGCAGTCTCAAACTGAGGCTATTTGCTGCAAGTCGAGGCCGCTCGACGCGAGGCTGCCTCTAGTGGATACGCGGCTTAATGTAGACGTGCCGCGGCCGAGGCAAGCGCGCGCGCTGCCGCGGCGAGCGACCGAGCGCCCGAGCCATCGAGTGTCGGTTTTTTGTTTTGCTCAAAGGCGCCTCGGTCGTTTGCCGCAGTCTGGACGCTCACGTATTTTGTTTCGTGCCTCGGTCGAGCATAATAATTATGAATAAAGATCAGTGTTTGAAATTAATATCTATCTATGGTGTAAACACCTGGCTATGGAGTGCAAGTGATCCTAATTTTAAAAATAGAGAACTTAGGGAAGATGCCTGGTTAAATATTAGCCACGAGATGAATGTCCTGGTTCCTGATTTAAAAAAGAAAATGGAGTCATTGATGAGATCTTTCAGGCGGGAAAAATCACGAGAATGAACGAACGAAGAAAACTGGCTCGGGCTTGCCGCGCGCGGCAGCCTCGCGGTGACACCGAGGCTGCCCGCTCTGTGTAAACGCGCAGATTCATTATTTTTTGTTTTCTGTAGCTGCTTTTCGTTATTCGCGTTTTCAAACAAAGTAAACTCTTCGGGTGCATTGATTTTAGATGATTTTTTAGCGACGATGTAGTTCGACCCTTTCAAGAATATGTCTTACTACATATATTTTACACTGCAATTAATCCTGGTCCTTTTCATCAGGATTGAAATAGGTCCAATACTGTACCCCGTTATCACACCTAATAAGGGTGATGACGGGGTACAGTAAACGAAATTCTATTTAATCCGTCAGTTAGATGATCAAAAAATAATGGACTCGTATTTTTTCTTTGGGCAATCAACCAAAAAATTACAAAGTCACTGTTCAGTGAAAATTGTACTTGTTTAATTGTAAAACGTGATGTCATACGAATTTTCAAATCAATATAATATACATTATTATGTGAAAAAAGAAAAAATACTTGTCCAATACTTTATGATAATCTACCAGATAAACGAAGAAAAAAAAATAGTCATCATCCCTATTCACTTTGCGTGGGTGCTGGCATTTTTAACAAAATGCACAATAAACAAGTAATAAACTTGTGATTGAATATTTAGGACAAAACAACTAATGTGCGCGTCAAATCTTTTCACAACACAAACAATAGCGAGGCGCGTCACCGTTTAACAAAATTAGGTATCACGCGCCACTCGTCGGTCCTGCCCCTTTCTTTCTTGTCGCGACCTGCTACATTTACGCATCTGCAGCAGCTCGGCATCGATTTTTGTGGATGCGAATGTCTAAATCGATGCGGATGCGGATGCAAATATTCGCAAAATCCCTGGTCAGAATATTAAAGTGTGAGTCAAACTTAATGGCGGCGGCGGTGAAGATGGCGCAAGTCGCGGCGCGGCGAGAGTTGTTTTTAATTTTATTTCATGTGAGTATAGCTCAGTCGCTGTTAAGTTCACAACCGCTATAACATTTGATTTTTTCTATAGGATTCTGTGATAGCTCACCCCATTATAGAAACGAATCTTAAATTGTAACGCAAACTATTTTGCCCATCTCCAAAATTTATCCTGACAGGGTGTGGGAGTAAGAATACGTATCTCATTTTCAAATCGGTTTTTTGTGGCGCGAGTTATTACGTGCAGGAGTGCCTGGACCAAATAAATGGTAAAAACCATACAAAAATTGTCACTTAAATAGTTTATTACCTGGATTAAGATCATGCAAAACAGGTGCCATAACAACGTCGAATTGTGGAAATGCCCGTTGCAAGAAGAAGAAGAAAATATATGATACTTTTAATCCCAAATAAATGATAGGTTCCTGAAGGATTCTCAAAAATTAAAGTTAACGCTGATGAAGTCGGTGGCCGCTAGTCTAAACTAAATATTTGTAATGTAACAATTATTATCTTATTTACATTACGATGTTAACGATACGTCGATTATAGATTTAAAGAGTACAGGCCTAGTTAGGATAACTTAATTTGTTTGTTAAAAGAACATTTATTAACATTTAGAAAAATAATTATTAGATTTAAGTATGGGCCCAGTTTGCGTGGAAGAGACGGCGGCGGAGTCACGAGCGGCAAGACTGGCGTTGCGAAGAGCAGCACTCAGAAGGCATGTACTGATAGCAGGCACTGAAATGCGTTTCACTGGACATCATAAAGAGCAGAGGTCACTAGCGACGTTGATAAAGGTACATGTAAAAAAAGTAAACAGATATGGTTTATGTTTATTATATTTATATTTTTTAAACATTTAACTGCTACATGTTTAAATGTAAAGAAAATTTTTACTAAAATAATTTCAATTCAAAATAGCGGTCCAGCTAGCAGACGGGATTCGTACCCGCACCCTCCGCTATCCGGACGGATGCACTGACCAATTATGTTATCGCGACCTTAATGGCCGTGTCGTCTAGTATTGTTAGGTTGCAAGGCAGCGCCATCTCTTGGCATTGTATTGTATTGTATACACTGTCAAACGAAATACACTCACAAGTATTAAACATTGGAAAGAAGAAATAGCAATTGTAGTTTATTATATTTTTATTTAATAAGCAATTAACTGCTAGATGATTGTTCGTGTTTGTGTCTCGTCTGCTGCCTGGTCTCTAAAACTAAATTTAAAATTAGTCTCTCCTTTTCATTCTGTATAGAGAATGACAAGGATACACTGTTTTCAAAGGACAGTGGCGAACTCCCATACAAATTTTTGTTTATTTTTTGGAGTTTACTCCTTAAGAATCGATTTGCATATATAAGGGGCCCAGTATGAGAAAATTTTGTGAGGAGTAAAATCTATCGATGAATGACCTCGTTGCATTTTTGGTGCGCATCCTGTTCGAGCCAAAATGACTCTTAAATCCAAGAGCTTAGGTGCAAAAGAATTAAATTGAAACTACAGTGTATTTTGTTAGACCATAGATTTCTTTATTAGTTAGGTGACGTTTTGCCTATATGTAGCTCCAAACATATTTACAAGCGTGATGCAACGAACTACAGCGCCATCTATTTTGATACATATGAACTAAAATTTTAAATGCAAATGGCGTATACATAATCGCCCACCAAGGACAAACTGAGATTTGTCCTTACAAATATTTAACTTAACAACATGACTCTGTTATCGCCCACCATGACTTAAGGTAACAAAACAAAAACACTAAGATGTACAATAACTTAAAATAATATATTTATGCACATCTGAAATTGACTATTGTAAAAAGTTTAATGTAAAATATTTCTTCGATTAATTATAATAAATGTATATGAAATGAATAAATATATATTTATATATGTATATTATTTTCATTAATTTGTTAATTTACCCTTTCATACAGTATCAATCTTTTTTAGGTTAAATAAACTCTTTTTGCGTCTGGTTAGACTATCGAACTTAAGGAGTAAACTTCAGTCGTGCGTCGGAGCTGACACACACAATTTTTTTTGGCATGTAAAATTATAGAGTGATTCTCGATTTAATTCGTCTTATTTCTTTTATTGTAGGTAGGTAGGTACCTACTCTTGTCTAAACCTAATAAAGCATAAAAAGCATTCCTAATAGTGTACTGTAGTAATGGGACCTGAATTATATATTAATTGCATCATTAATCACTACCTATATTTATACAAGTAAATACAGTGTCTCCTGATAAACATAAATTAAATAAATAAAAAAAAAAAGAAGTTAAAGCTTATATAAACCAAATCTACTCACGCTTTCTATAAGTAATGTATGTATTCTAACTTAAGTCATTAGGAAGGAACTAGTGCCTATATTACAGGCTGGGGCCTAGTTTAGGTACTAGTACATTGTATACTATCGATAAAAATCTAGTTATATGTAAGTTCGAAGTTTCAGTGGTCCTTGTATCTTTCGCTCTGAGCCGCAATGCTGTTTTGACCCGTATAACGGGCTATTTAGTACTCACTTTCCTACGTCTTACTCTGGTCACTTTTGTTGGGCCGTGTGTTGTCGTAGCAGTATTGCGGTAGCGAGCGATAGCAAGTTTTTTTGTTTTTACTAAAAACACTTTTTTCTATGTATTTTTTATTCCACATCTTCTATTAACACAATATCGTAGATAGTAAATACAATAAAATAAAATCCAAAGTATGGGACAGAATCTTGGTCCAAAATCCACAGCAAGGAGTCGTCCAAAATAGCAGAAATTCGGAATTTTGAGACAAGAACTACTCAACAGTCGAAGCAGTCCAAGTTACATAAAAAACAAATCTCAGAAAAAATAATACACATGCACAAGCAACGATAATAATAACAACAACAATTTGAAGACAAGCGTAACAGTGACAGTTATAGTTTTTTACGTTAGAATTGTCGCCATATTTTTTTTTGTATTGTTTGTTTAGATTATTTATTATGGTTTCATTATAATATTCAATAATAATGTTTCACGAGCTTTCTGATCGATAAATAAATAAAGTTTAAGCGTAAAGCGATGCAAAACAAACGAACAACAGACTTCAAGTTGATTTAATCACTAAAATAAGGGGCTCAAAAGTCATGACGCTAAGCCATTATAAAACAAATGTGATTAAATAATAAATAAGTCAATTGTGTTTCCCTTTTTTAAGTAATTGATTCCAGACTTGTCATGCCTCCTGAATTATTTGATAAATCTTTTGAATTTATTAACATTTCTGATAATGACATCTATAGATGCTAAAGATTACCTTTAACATATATTTCGCCATTGTCCTTTAGGTTTAGAGAACCCTGCCAGAATCGACAACAGTATTAGTATTCATTTGTAGATAAACATCGGGTACCGGGTTTTATTTATTTGCATTGAAATGAAGTCATTGTCGAATTTGGAAAACGACTTTCTAAGTTTACTTTTGATAAATTATATAAAAGATCTGCAAAACGTATCTATAATTCTAATAACAAATTATTTTGCAGAAACAACTAAACAGTAGAGGAAGTGGGGGCAACCTGCCTCCACAGACCATCAATCATTTATTAGCATTACGCGGTATGCCCATGCTGCTATCATCAAACGAAAGAAGACAACTCAGGTGAGTAATTTTTACCAAGCATGTCTTGCGAGGTTCCTTTGTGAAGCTAAATATTTGTATTTTTTTTTATTTAAAATTCATACTCGCATTACTTTTATGTGCCTTGTACCTAGAGAGAGTAAGTTGATGTCTCACACTTCAAGCGCTTGTTGCGCTGAAGAGCGTTCCTTGTAAGCTCTGCATCTTTGGGACTAGTACTGCCTACTTAACGTACCTGACTCTAATGATAGCGCTCATTATGCCGGGCCGCAGCGGGTCGGGTCGCAGCGTAAAAATCTCAAATTGCTCGTGTCTTTTAAATGAACTATCGCACGCTCTGCATAAAGCTGTTGCTCTGTATAAAATTTTACAGACGGCCATGTCTTACTGTGGCTGCGGCCGGGGTGGCAGCCAGTTGTATTCGCTTGCATTGTAAGCGAGTGGACAAATACGAGCGATCAATAAACCTCTGTCTGTGAGACACTTAATCCGCCACGGATTTTAGTTGCGGGCGATGCGATGCGCACCGTCACAGTGTGCTAAGTAAGCATTTTGGCCCGACATAAAATGCGCGATCTTTTAACCAGCGGCTAAATTCATGTTATATTTATGTGTAGGGAGAACGGTTGGTCTAGCGGTGAGAGTGGGTCGATGTCGCATATTTCAAGAGCTTGTTGCGCCAAAGAGCGCTGCTCGAAAGCTCCGCTACCTTGTGTCTATTACTGCCTATCGCATGAGACTAAAGGATCGCGCAGATTACGCCGCGTCGCAGGGCATCACTAAATGCTTACTTAGCACATTAGTGATGGGCCGAGTCGCAGCGCATTTTGCGTACAGTGTACTGCCAGACGTCTGTGCAACTGTATGAATTTCAATCCGCTTACTGTAGCGCACTGTGTCCGCACAAAATCCGCGGCGGAATGTGCGGCCGGCTGCGCCCGCGCAGTGTACGATAGTTCATATAAAATACGTACGAGCGATTTGTGCGGATTTTTGCGCTGCGACCCGACGCGCTGCTTCCCAGCATAATGTGCGCTATCCATAAAGCAACAGCTATATTCATGTTATGTTTGTGTGTAGGGAGAATGGTTGGTCCGGTGGTGAGAGTGGGTCGATGTCTCATACTTCAAGCGCTTGTTGCGCCGAGGAGCGTTGTTCGGAAGCCCCTCTACCTTGTGGCCAGTACTGCCTATCGCACGTGACGTTAGCACCTGAGCAGCGGCTATACGCAGCTTGCGCAGCGGTGTTCGCTGGAGGAGCGCGCTGCAAACAGCCGCTGTTACCGCTGCAAGATCAGACGCCCCTCTGCCCGGAGCATGCTTGGAAAAGGGTAAGCTTTTATTGTGCGATCCAAAATTAAATGGCGAATGTGAAGTTAGGCCAAGTTTTGTCGCAGTAACTTCTCAACTAATAAAACATCTTTAACCCAATAACTCCCAAAATTGCAAGCATTGTAGCGGAGGAGGCTTCTTGGAATAATTAACGCAGAACTCGAAATTAATATTAATACGCTGTTTAACAATTATATTTGAAGCGAAGAGTGAAAGTACAGTTGATCATTACGCGCTTAAAAATGAATAGGAAATAAAAATTACCGCTGTGAACCCGACGAATTTGCCGTTGCACAATATTCATGGCATTGGCGTCAACAAACATCATAGCCGTTTTGACATGCTCAAAGTCTGCTTTGACAAAGTAGCTTTGATGGCTGTGACTACTTTGAGGTTACTTTGATCGTGTAAACTAGCAATCAAAGCGCAGTCTGACGTCGGAATCAAATCTTGGACCATACTCAACTTTTATCAAAGTTGACTTTGAGCATGTCAACTCGTCTTTACGTCTAAATTCAATGCGCGCTGCTTAGTTTTCATCATGGACCAATAATATATTAGCTACTTTGTCAAGCAAAGTATGAGCATGTCAATGTGGCTTTAAATTGTCCTTTATTTTTTTTTATAACACACACCAATTAGCCTAGCCCCAAAGTAAACACCGTAAAGCTTGTGTTATGAGATACTAGGGTAACGGATAGAATACATATACTGTACATATATAAGTATATTTATACAGAAATACATATGAAACATCCATGACGGGAGTACAAATGCTCGTATTCATCACACAAACATCTGCCCCACCGGGAATCGAAACCGGGATATTTATCAGTGAGTAGTTATATTTTTCCTACTTTTTCTTACGACTTCAATTCTTCCAAAGGACAATTACGACAAGCTAGCTCGTGATTGTCGGCCCAAGAAGACGGTCCGCAAGCGTATATGGGCGGCGCCGGCGCGCCCCCCGCGCAAGGCAAAGAGGCGGCGCCGCCCCCCAGTGCGACCCCCGCCCCCGGCGCCCCGCCCTCGCAGCCCCCACGCTATAGCAGCGCAAACGCCCACCGCCGAACAAAGTCTTTCCGGTGAGTATTTATTGATGTGTAACATCTTTCCTCTCGCTTTCGTGCAATTTGTGGGTTAAATTCCATACTTCAACAAATGCTTCATATAGTTCGTTTTGACTGGTGTTACGTTTGTTAGAGACTTTATTTTAAACAATATACCAGAGATTTTCTATGGTTTAAATCCAGTCCGGATTTATTAAAGTACAGTTTTGGTATGTACTGTCACAAACGCTCTCGTAACGAAACCGCAAAAAATACTGGAGACAGAATTTACCAGCACACCGCGGATCGCGATAACGGTCAAGTTTTGCGGCTCATTCTAATAGCTTTATGCAGTGCGGCGTAAGAGAGAAATTGCAACGACATCTGCATTTGTTAACAATTTATGCGTGCTACCTACGTAGATATAAGTAGGTACTACGCACTCCCGGGTGCTAGTTAACTCTCAATTTACCGGGACTTTTCTAGAATGCATCGATTGGCGTTTATGTATAAGTGCGTTCGGCGCCGCGCATAGGACAGTCGTGTTTCAACAGCGTTTTCGTAACGAATACAAAGGCGATCAGCTGTGTAGCGTGAACTGGCATATAATTTCGAACCCCATCCCAACGCGTAACAGTATAATGAAGAACATTTTGTACCATAATTTTACTCAAACTTGTGTTTTGTAATTATTTATTAAATGCAGGTTGCAACAAGGTGCAAACTTGAAAACAAAAAACCAAATGTAATCAATGTAACAAATTCATATGTAATGCACACTTTATAGTCCAGGCAACGAAAAGGTATAGAGGGAAATGCTTAGAACACAATTTTTGACTTCGTAACTTTGTTAGGACTAGTTAGGAGGTAAACATATCAAAAGTCCCCGCCCGTAGCCCTTAAGCCGGGGGGAAGGGGGGGGATTGAAGGTCCCATTTTTAGGTTTTTCGCATATACATATCTCGGAAACTATGCATCCTAGCGACATGAGACTTTGACAAAAGTGAAAGCTGATTAAATTTGCTACAAGTCTTATTCAGTCAAGTTTTGACGTGACAACGTCTTAAATTAGGTTGCGGCTGGGAGTCACTTATGAAAAAGTGTAACGCTCGGTAACGTTACGATGAGTCTCTCGTGTTAAGTTTAAGTTTACATGTACAATGTTTTAGTAAACAAAATATATTTCTATAGTTAAAATTTGTGCAATTCTTATTTTCATTCAATTCCTTGTTCCTATTGTGCAATTTAATTATATTCATATCAATAAATATTCTACCGAGAAAAAGACGTTGTCACGTAAAATCTTCGCCCGTAAAACCGACTTTACAGGCAACCATTTTTTTTTTACCCTGATTTATCAATTTTGACATAAAATGTATTAAATAAAACAAGTTTCAACGGGTTAGATGCACTGATTTTATTTATTTATCAAACCTAAGAAACAAATACATAAAATGTATGTCAAAATATACATTGTTCGTACCTGAAGCATATGTTCTGAACGTATGCCATAACTGCTGTCAGCACTTCACTTGGCTATTCGTGTTTGCTGTTTGTTAATTTGACCGCAGTCTGTCCTTATCATGCTTTATAAAGAATGAAAAGGACAAGCTGATGTCAAGTATACATATAACAAACTCGAAACTATTGAGCATACGTCGCATAGAAATTAGAAATCTGATAACTTTTTTGATATCTTGTTTTCGAGATATCCGCTCTTAAGTCTGTAATTATGGAAAAAAGAATTTGCTTCACATTTTTGCTCTATTTGACCGGATAACTCTTCAACAATGCCGGCCGTAGGGTTGTTGGTTCCACCAGTGAGCAGCATGCAGATTTCGGACAAGCCCGCCAAAACAAGGATGGAGCTGACATTGCCAAGCTTACCGATTGGTTTGAGAAATTTCCTCGCTTCCCAGAGACCAGAGACATTATCAAGTCACCAGAAATCCAGAAAGCAGCAGCGGTCTTTTCACACCCTTTCTCCACCACCGCTCAAGTACAAAAGGCAGGTGAAACCTGCATCTTAAGGTGGTATGGAGCTCCAGCGAAAGAGATTTCCCTCAATGCCTACAGGTACAAGTCATTCTTGAAATCAGTGGCCACCATCAAGCCTGATATCTCTTGTCTTCCTCCCACCAAGGGAGTGGCAATTCTTTTTTTCCATAATTACAGACTTTCAAGAGCGGATATCTCGAAAACTATACAAGATATCAAAAAACTTGACTGATTATGACTTGTAGCAAATTTAATCAGCTTTCACTTTTGTCAAAGTCTCAGGTCGCTAGGATGCATAGTTTCCGAGATATATGCGAAAAACCTAAAAATGGGATCTTCAATCCCCCCCTTACTCCCGGCTTAAGGGCTACGGGCGGGGACTTTTGATATGTTTACCTCCTAACTAGTCCTAACAAAGTTACGAAGTCAAAAATTGTGTTCCAAGCATTTCCCTCTATAGCTGTTTTCGAGCATTCGTTGCCTGGACTATTATAAAAGTTTGTTAGTTACAAAAAATGAAAGCAAAAATATTTTTATGACATAGACAATATAGAAAATGTAAAATTCTCTACCCGTGGTACAACAAACCTTTAAAGAAGTCTGACATCAAGCTAGCGGCTACTGCTTGCGACAATAGTCGAGAAGCGCCACGCGCCAGCCATGCGCCACGCCAGCCATGCGCCACGCCAGCGAGTCTGTTGAATTTTTATATGAACTCCATTATCTCAGAGTGGTATTGAAAAATTGTCGCAAATTAAATTACTTATCTTTTAAATGTCAATTTCTCTTTTCAGAGATCAACGTGTGTTCAAATTCATCAGCATATGACAGTTCCGAAGATGCCGCTATGGGAGCGCTAAGTGAAAACGAGTACATTACAGTGGCGAACTCCTCTCATGATTTGGGTGAGATCTTTTTTGTTGATTTTTATAAACTTAATTCGTTGTTTTACAACCTTGTTTCCTGGGAATAAATCTATGATCTACAATAACTTTCAGATTTAACAAAAGTATTCCATTTTTCACCACATTATAAAACAATGACTTAGACACGGACCTGAAAAAAAGACGGACATAACTTCGTCTTATCTTGAGTGAAGCATGCAAATGGCCGCCCGCTTACAGCGTGTGCGTGATTTGAGGGTTGTCGGGTAAATCATCAATTTCCCTACTTTTTAAATCTCCCAAACTAAAACATTGTTAACATTATGTAATCAAATATATATTATAATAACGGGATATTTACCACGTGTTTTACTCGTTGTGAGCTCCCGATTTTTCAGCAATTTATACGGTTGCACTTCAGAAACATGATGTAGGTCTATCAAATTATTTTTTAGGAACACCAAGATAGAAAAGAAAGCACTTGTTATGTATAAAGAATTTTATTGTTTACATATAAATGTTAGTGTCTTAATATTAAGTATGAGGTTAATAACATACATTAATATACATAAATCGCACAGATTAAAATAAAAATATAATAGACTAATATTGCTATTTCTTCTTTCAAATGTAAGTATTTCATTCATAGATTGAGCAGGTATTTAAAGACTGACAGAGTGAGGAAAAGAGATATCATGCCAATCCTATAACGTAGAAAGAGACGCAACATGATGTACCTTTCGTCTAATAATATATTTTTTGCAAGAGCCGCAGCGCCCTGTCAAGTCGTACTGAGATAAAATTTATTATGAAATTCTGTGAAACTAAGAAAACAATAATGCATATAATAATAATAAATAAATAAATAAATATAACACAACACAAATGTGCTTATTACCAACTGAATAAGTATGTGTTATGGTATCCTGTGTTTTAAGCATATCTTGATAAATCGACACTATCACTCGGAATCAAACACCGATACGCACACATGCACAGATATTTTTTTGGAACAGTAGCGATAGGTACTCTGTCTATCTTTAGATCCTATATCTATGGTTTCATTTGACATTGTGGTTTACCTACAATGCGAAGAAACGCCACTATCGTGCAGCCTAAGAAATATAAGAAGAAATTCGTCACGATCATTAAGGTCTCGGTAGCATAGCAATAGGCTAGTTGACCCTTTTTGGAAAAAGGTTTTAAATGGTTAATAAATGTTCTATAAGAACGAAAAAAAATGTATTGTATTTTTTTGAGACCTAGAAAGCTACAAATCTTTAATTTTAAAATAGAATTTTCATGGACATACAAAAACGCTGTCGGCCATTTTAGTCTATAGATTGTCTATGCTATGATGTCAACTGTAGTAAACAAAAACTCGTAAGCACGTAGAAAATAACTGAGTTTATAATAAAAAGAACATGATTTCTATTAAATACCACGAAAAATAAAGTAATTATCATTATTGTATTGTACGAGAATATAAAAACACATCCTTGAAGACGCCAGGAATGTTGTGGATTAAAGTGCCGAAAGAAATTAACCTACGCAACTTTATTACACTTATTCATATGTTGTATCAGTTTTATGTATATTACTACATTGTAATACTAAATGCACTGTACTTACATAGATGCCTTGTCGTTTCTCTGCTCCGCAGAGCAGTAATCGGGGTTTAGTGCAAAAAATTCACCAACCATCAATGCGTCAATTCTTGGCAGATTTGTGCTTTCACAAAGCCGGCATCCATAATTAGTTTTGTCAAAAAAAACAGTAAACGGAAACTTATCTAAAGTTAAAAGGGTTATAAGATAAATTTATTCAGACTAAAGAATCCACTCACAATAACACGCGAATGACATTTAGTTGTTTACTGAAAGAGACGTCAAAATCATGGCGGATGTGGCGAACAGCGTTTTTACTGTTTAAAAAATATAGACTAAAAAAATTTTTTTAAAATTAAATTTCTACAGCAATCTTCTGCTTTTATGAAGTGAAATCGATATATTTAGGTTCCTTAGACCAAATACTGTAAGAAATAAACATTTATTTAATACAATTCGACATGAGTCAACTAGCCTATTAGTGCATCCACCCACACAGCAGAAAATGCAGGTTCAATTCCTGCCTGTAATTCATTTTGTAATAATTTTGGTTGTCGTAATTTAGTTTCAAAAGTTTATTTGTATAGTAGTTCTGTTAACGGGTTTCAACTGTATCTATATATATATATATATATATAACTCAAAGGTGACTGACTGACTGACATAGTGATCTATCAACGCACAGCCCAAACTACTGGACGGATTGGGCTGAAATTTGGCATGCAGGTAGATGTTATGACGTAGGTATCCACTAAGAAAGGATTTTGATCAATTCTACCCCCAAGTGGATAAAATAGGGAATGAAAGTTTGTATGAAACTTTGTCAATTTTAAACCGATCGGGCTGAGACTGCATGCAGGTATAAGAAGAATCATAGATGAATGTCATTGTGTATAATACAACTACTCAGCTCTACACCGAAGCGAAGTGAGGGCGGGCCGCTAGTTTTTAATATTTTTATACATTTTCCGCCGTTTCGGATTCTTTACAGGCTCCGGTTTGAACGAAAACCAAACAACGTGTGCACTGCACACAGTACTGGAAGGTGATGGGTTCCAATTGTTATCCCCTTTGCAGTATCGAATAATTAAAACCCAGTCATCTCTACGGTTTCTATTTCTAGGAAACCTATTAGAAAGAAGGCAAGACAATTATTTATATAAAATATTCTATGAATAATATGGCTTCTATTCTTTTCCTTTTGGGATACGGAACCCTAAAAAGTTACGAAATCTGATCTTGCCTAGTCACAAATGCAAAAAATACAAATTTCCCTACTTCTAGGGAAATTTTCCCGTAAATAAAGTAGCCACACAGTTGTATTTTTGTTTACAATTTTCATCCTTATAAATAAAATTTAATATAAAAAAATTATCAAGAATCGTTAATACTTAAGCATGGCAGGTGATTCCTTGTGACTTTTCAAATTTACTCGTGTAGTTTTTACAAGATTTCACCACACAAGACGGCATTTTTTTAAAAATATATCGGAGCAATTGAACGTGTGACTGGCGCTGTCACGCGAGTTCAAATGGCAGCGGATTGTCCGACCTGGTGCATTAGTGTGAGTGAAGATAGTGTACAACACACGATTTTGTCTGACCTTCATGTCATTGTCATGCTTCACATGATTTGCCTTTGATATTACGTCCGTCTTTTTTTCAGGTCCGTGGACTTAGATCAGTGTTTCCTAACCTTTCCAATACTGTTACACCTGTAACCTATTAGGAAAACAGATTTTACCCCGACTTTAAAATGTAACCAATATAAACAATAGAAGCTAATTCTAATATGTTTATTAATCACAAAGGAGATTGGTCGAATTGGCCTAAATGCAAATAAAATATTGACATATACAGTAATTCTTGGCGTAATTTATACTTTATTTTACAGTCATTAGATTTTAACGGCCACCTTTAAATAATATATTAATTTTAAAAAAGGACTTCTATTTTTACCGGTTTGGAGAACATACGAATCATTTTTATTGGCTATGGGTGTAGTAACATTCACAAAGACTGATCGAGGTTGTTTATATAACATCAAAACAAATCTATTTTGTAAAGATTGATAAAATATTTTTTTTTTATTACACGGGTGGTATTAATATCCACAACTTTATTATCATTTATACTACATGCAAATGTGCTAAGACAATTAATATAGATGGTAGGCGACATCATAAAGTCTATTGCCGTACATTTTTTGCCAAACACCTAAATAAACACATTATAAGGTGTGATACACTAAAAATCTAAAATATGGTTATAATAAAAACATAACAAAAATAATGACGCTGCTGAAGATATGGCTGTATAACCTACAGCTCTTAGCTTTCTTTGATTAACGAGAGTTTCAAAATTCTCTCTAATCTGTGGCTCATTCACAATCATCACACAGTTTCTGTTCGTGTTTTTAAAAACATGCACATATCTGTTATTTTACATGCTCTATATACCTGAATCTAATACATAATATCGGTACTTGGCTTGATTGCCCTATTTTCCTATATAAGTTATTTGGCTTTTATTATTCTAATACCTATGTGCCTATTTGCAAACATAACCTCAAAATCATTCAGTGTATATGGTTTATAGAAGTTCTCAGGAGTGGCCGTCGATAATATTCGTTTCTACGGTAATTTATATATAATTTCGAATGTAGGAAACAATTTTTCATGGTTATTGGTTTTTAGGCCAAACATGTATGGAAGCTGAGCAATCTCCTTTATTATTATTATTAATTAAAACAGGCCACATAAAAAACACAAATTGCAATATCACTATTTTACCATGTTTCATATTTTAACTATGAATTAATAATAAACATCATTGTGAAGATGGGAATTGTCTGGCATTTATAAGTTTTTTATGTTAGATTTCGTTTCACTTAAAGCGCATCTCAAGTCCTGAGTTTCTGGCATTTGTTAATAATAGAGGTAACTAAAGTTGAAAAACCACTCTCTCATCTGGTGGTGGTGGCAAGGGGTATTATCATTTTGAAAGCTCTGTTAGCTATAACAGGATATTTGGCACTTGATCTTATTCAAAATGTGCTGAGATCATAAATTTTGAAATTCTACTTTGAAAGTAAATACTCTCGCGCAGTCCAAGAAATTCCAATGTGGCCGCTACATCTTCGTCTCTAATAATGTCATCATCAGGAGAAAATCTTGCCCCGCCTCCCACACTCAGTACCCCGCGGTCTCGCTAGCAAGAAGGAGCGCTGCAACTTGCGTTACTGCGCGGTGTACTGTATTTTCTTATTATTTAGATTTGACCAAATAATTAGGTTCTTTGTTACTCCCGAAGTATAGCTGATTTACCCCCGAGGGGGTAATTACCCCCAGGCTAGGAACCCAGGACTTAGATACTTATGTTTAGTGCAGCTTCTCTCAATCTTTCAGTCAGTTTTTCGTGCGTTGTCTGTATAATATAAACCGTCAATTACTATGAGGTAAGAGGAGGTAGAGAGTTGATTTGTATAGATTCGTTACGCTTATGATCACCATGAATCACTATTTATATATTATTGAATTTGTTAGTAGGTTTTTTTTTTATGTTATAGGGGGCATACGAGCAGACGGCTCACCTGATGGTAAGTGATCACCGTCGCCCATGGACACTTGCAACACCAGGAGTATCACAAAAGCGATGCCGGCCTTTAAGGAAGGAGTACGCTCTTTTTTTGAAGGTTTTTGGGTCGTATTGGTCCGGAAACACTGCTGGCGACAATATATTCCACAGTTTTGTCGTACGTGGTAAAAAAATTCGACAAAAACGCACGATTTTGGATAGCCACGCATCAAGATGATGGGGATGAAATTTTTGTCGCGATGTACGATGGCGAAATGCAGCAGCTCGAATTAATCCGAACAATTCCTCAGAACACTTCCCGTGATAAATGCGATAGAAGATGCAGAGCGAAGCTACATCCCTACGCAGAGCCAAAGGATCAAGCTGATCGGAAAGGTCCTGGTCGTCGACGATTCTAGCCGCTCGGCGCTAGATGCGATCCAAAGGCAGAAGCTGGTACTGGGGTGCCCCCCGCCCAAAGATGAGAGCAGTACTCCATGTGAGGCCGAACCTGTGCCTTATAAAGCTGCAGTCGGTGGGCCGGTGTGAAGTACATTCTCGATCTATTGAGCACACCAAGCTTCTTAGAGGCCAATTTGGCCTTGCCCTCTAAATGATCCCGAAACTGGACGTCGCTCGATATGTCAACGCCAAGAATTCCAATACTAGCTGAGGCAGTTAGAGGAGTGTTCTCAAAAAGAGGAGATACGACAAATGGTATTTTTTTTGCGGTGAACGCGCATACTTGTGTCTTCGTAGGGTTAAAATGGACTAGATTAAGTCGACCCTAATTCGTTACTCGGTTTAACAAAGTTTCGACTTCAGACACAAGTTTGTTCCGGCACTCGATGACGTTTTCCCTTGAAATGTTGGCGCGGCCGGTATATAGGGCATCACCCGTGCTGTCGTCTGCATAACAATGAATGCCATCAATTTGAAGCATATCATTGATATGAAGAAGAAACAGCGTAGGTAAATATGTTGTGGTTAATATAGGTAGTTATGGGTAGTCATGCTCTCTTAACAGTCTCTTCGGTGGTGTCGTGTCGTCGTCGGTCGTTATGTTCCCTAAAATATGGTTGAGCGAAGTGATGGCTGGCTGGTTCATGCGTCATGCTCGTAAACGGGTGCTGACAGCGGAGATGAGTCTGCCTTAACCACTTTGATATTTAAGATGTAAATGTCTAGTTACACCTAATATAAATAATACTATTTGTATTTGTACTGTATGACACAGCAATCAAAATGCAGGTGAACAATTAATGTATAATTTCAGATTATGTAATGAATGGTGACTTCATGAATCATCTCTGAAGTCATTTCAACTTGACGACTCTGTAAATAATAAAACAGGGAGAAAAAAACAGCCCTTGCTGAGTTTCTTGCCGGTTCTTCTCAGTACAAGGTCTTCCACCGTAGATTTACGAACCGATGGCGTAGCTTCAAGACATTCATGAGTGCTTGTAACAGCCTAAACTGAATAAATGATTTTCATTATGATTCATTGGTTGATTATGATTATTTATGCTTTTTTTATAAGTTCAAATGTAATAAAAACCAATGAATTTGTCTCAGAAGTGGAGGTGGAGCACGCGCCTCACGACGACATACTCGATCCGTCGGTACTCAGCCAAATACCAGATGAGGCGTTTACGGAGTTCTTCAATCAAGGTTTGTGGCACTGAATTGATTTAGTTACGAGTATGTAGTAGTCGCCGATTTGCCGAAATTGGACCTTCTCAGCTCTGCTGTCTAAGAGTATACTTTTATAAATAGTTTATCTATCAATGCATAATCTGTGTGTGTGTGTCAGACGTATGGTATGATATGAGGAGCTGGCGAACAAAACGGTATAATTACGCATCTGGTCAAACTACTTTCTTTTTACATTTCAGAGGTTTTGGGCCCGCTGAATTTGAATCTCAACTCATTTTCAATCAAAACTAAAAACTACGCCAAAAGCTCACTGTAGGTATGACGTTCATATTTTTTCAGCTCCTGTAAAATTTTATTTTATCTATACCGTTTTGTTCGCCAGCTCCTTATATAATATTTATTTTATATCATACCATACGTTTATTGGTATCGATTCTGGCATGATTCTCCAAACCTAAACATAAATTTGACAATAGTGTATCCTTGTCATTCTCTATACAAAATGAAAATGAGAGACTGATGTTAAATTTAGTATTGAATATAGAGAATCATGCTACAATCTACACCAATGTAATATATTTGTGATACATTATTATATGTATAAAAATATATCTTTTTGGTCTCTGCACTGTGGTAGAGTGGCATGTCCTGAGTTCGAATCCCAGTATGTACCTGAGTCATAGCCGTCGCGCTCATGCAGAGAGTTGGAACAAATTAATGTCATGTTTCATTTATTATACACACATTGATGTTACTTTTACAGGCATTATTACACGGTTTAAAGCAGAAATTATTAGACGAGCGACACTTGTTGCCAAAATGAGTAGCGTGATAGCGTAATTATTTTCCTTCTTAGCGTCCTTCTTTCTATTTTCTCTTTTGTGCTTTTGGGCTTGACTAATAGGTGTGAGTGTAAAAAATAAAACAATACCATAAAGATATGAATATAATTATAAATAATTTAATCTTTCTATACAGCGGAAGGCGGCACCAATTTCGCGGAGAGTTCAGAATTGGCTGCCGCTTTAGAGGCGGTATTGGACGAGCGCGTGCTCGACGAGCGGGTAATGGAAGACAATATTACTGATTCCGTCTTCTTACACACAGCGCATGCGCAGCTCAAGACCAAGGTGCGTGAGTTTGGTAGCCATAGATATTACTATTCTGGCTTATAGTTTTGAACTGGTGACGTTATAGGTAGAGATAAACGAGTGAGTAATAGCGAGTGCGTAAGTTTTTATAATCATCTCCAGCCTATTAATGTCCCCACTGCTGGGGCACAGGCCTTCCCTATGGGTGGAATAGGGAGAACGGGCCATGACCCACCACGCGGGCCCAGTGTGGATTGGCGGGTGCTAACGACTGCTAACGGCTTAACGTGCCTTCCGAAGCACGGAGGAACTCGAGATAGAAGATTTTCCAATGCCCGACCATTGCAAAAGTTGCTTAACTTCAACGATCGCAGCCGAGCTCGCTAGCCACCTGCGCCATCGAGCTCCTCACCTCACCTTATATAATCACAGAGACCAAAAGACACTATTTTAACAGACTTTAGAACATACGGCCATGTTAGAAGCAGTATTGGACGAGCCATCCCTCGTTTACACCAAGAAACAAGTCATATACTAGTTATACACAAAACTTGAAGAATATTTGTTGTGACTGTTTAAAACATTCTTTGTATTTTTATACTGTATAGAAAATTAGTATCGTACAAGTATAAAAATCACATATTTACTTCACATGTTTTTTTATACAACAAGTTTGATGCAAGTATTGTATACTTCATGTTTTAAACATCTAGACAAGTATGAACAAAAAAAATAAGACATATAATAAATAAAATATGTTAAATACATGCATTGAACTTTGGTGTAAACGAAGGATAATAAATGGTGATCTCGACAACATCACTGACCGTGTCCTTAGAAAGAAAGAAAAAGCTTTTATTGTCCTTACACAAGTAGGTTTTTCTTAGCAGGCGTTCAAGTATTACGTAACGCAATTTGGGGGGGAGGGGGGATCTTGTAAAAACGTTAATATCGTTACGGTACGTTACATACACATGGGGGGTCCCCATACACACGGCGCATGCGCAACTCGAAGACTAAGATTCGTGGGTTTGTTAGCCATAGAAAACAAATGAACTGCAAACTATAATATAACCTCAACTATATCCATCTCGTTTGTTTACATTACTCGTAATATATACAGTAGAACCCGTTTAATACGATCACGCTTAATACGATTTCTCGCTTAATACGCTATTTTGCGTCAGTCCCTGCAACTTGAGATATATTTTCATACATTTCTTAACGCATAATACGATTCGTCATCCCGTTTAATACGCCTAAATCACTAACATGTACCACACTTATTACCTCTTGCGGCAGCGGTCTTGGTCATGGTAGCGAAGCTAAAAAAATCCATGTTGTTTCAAAAACGTTAGATCGCTCCCTGTAACATATGATGCACAATCTCGACCATGGATGACCGGCATTCGTTTCATCGATGGGTTAAAAGCTTTAGATGATCACTTCCAGACTAAGTGTAGACGCATAAATCTCTTTATTGACAACTGTCCCGCACACCCTAAAGGTGTTGAACTAAAGAATATCAAGCAATTCGACAAGCAAATTATAACCGATGGATCAGGGCATTAAAAAGGTTGTAAAACAAGGTTACATGACAAAATTAGTACATCGCTATCTTAGAGAAATTGAAGACGCTGATAGCAAGCGGCCCTTGATTATGCATGATACCATTCTAAACATTGCAGGAGCTTGGGGAGCAATTAAGCGTAAAATCATTCAAAATTGTTTCAAAAAAGGCAGGTTTAAGAAATAACGAGGTTGGCGTCGTATTAATAGAAGAAGAAGAACCCGTATTACTGCCGGGTTTTCATGGATATTTTTCCATTGATAGCAAACGAAATTCAATCAATTGAAGATCTTATTGAGAGTATGAATATCACACGAGAAGAGGCCCTAAGTGATAATGATCAAAAAGAAGATGAGTCAACTCCGATTTTGTCTCACGCCCAGGCATTATCAGCAGTTAATAATTTAAGTTTAGATAATCCTTTGAATCAAAAGACGCACTGCAAAAGTTAAATTATGTTAAATCTTGTAATTGCTAATGCCTCAAAATCTTTTTGTCGAACTAAAATGTATATTTATTATGAAGTACATAATTTAAAAAAAAATGTACATTTAATACCTCAATAGAGAATAGCCGTCAGTTATTCGCTTCTTCCATGGGTGACTCTATTTCACATGACCCATCGCCAACAAAGAAGCGACTAACAATCGGTTGAGGCGACCTAAAACCCTTTACTGAAATAAAAGAACGTCTATCTTGCTTCTTCTTGCAACGGGCGTTTCCGCAACTCGACATCCTTATTGCGCCTGTGTTCTATCTTACTTAATAGAATATAAGGGTTTATTGAGTATTCTCATTTCAGATTCAAGTTCCATCATCGGTGTCCGTGGAAATGTCAACAAGCGCGCCCTCATAACATAGTAGCGTTATTCTTTATACTGTAAGCTTAACAACTATGTACTGTAAACTTTAGGAACAAATTCGATAGATATTCATAGTCTCAAGAGTTGAAAATATTTTACTTCATGCTTTAAGTTTTGTATGTAAGGAATATGACAATGGTATGATATTTTTAAGTGGACTATATAATATTAGTTGGTAATGAGTTATCGCGTACGCTTGGTTCTCTGGCTTTCGAGAGGGTGATATGATGAATAAGCAACATTCGTCGAAAACCTATATCTGGATGTTGTTATGCAAACTATAACAAAGCATATTATAACGAACTTTTTACTAAATTAATTATTCACATTACACTTATTACATTATTTCATGATCAAACTTAAAAGCTTATGTGACTTCACTATCATGTTTTGTCTTTTCATTCAAATAATTCAAAATCGGTAAATAACTGAAATTGGTCTTAGTAGTTTGTGTTTTTATACTTTCGTGACAATTTCTCACTTTCAGCGGTTTAGGTCTAGATTGAATATTGTGGAGTTTATGTTAGGTAAAATGAAACAAATAATTAGACAAACATATAGCCTTACTAGCCTGGCCTAGCACGAACAACTAACGAGAAAGTATTCGTATCGCCATCGTCAAAGTTTCTAGGGCCTGGGTTCCGAACCTGGGGGTAATTACCCCTCTGGGGGTAAATTAGCCATACTTCGGGGGTAACAAAGAACCTAATTATTTGGTCAAATCTAAATAATAAGAAAATACTATATAATAATACAACTAAATAGAGCATGCTAGCGCCTTCTTGCTAGCGAGCCCGCGGGGTGCTGAGTGTGGGAAGCGGGGCGAGATTTACTCCTGATGATGACATTATTAGAGACGAAGATGTAGCTGCCAAATTGGAATTTCTTGGACTGATGATAACATTTTAAAGTGGTGGTAAAATCTGTTTTTTCCTAATAGGTTATAGGGGTAGCAGTATTGGAAAGGTTAGGAAACACTGTTCTAGGGAAACTAAGCAGCGCCCCCTGCCGGACGTAAGCACAAACTAGCTCCTTCCATAGAAACTTTGACGATGGCAATGGCAATACATTCTTGCTGGTTGTTCTTGCTTGGGGTACAGTTTAGACGTAATAAAACTTAGTCTGACCAAAGTTGCATAACAACATCCATTTGATATGGAAAGATATTATGCTGTTTTAACGAATCTGCCAATTTGTTCCCAAACATGAATAAGGTTAATGCGTAGCAAAGATAATATAGTTTAAAATTTGGATATGTGTCTGAGTTTTTGTTAATTAGGCGGCAGATTTTGAAATTGGAAGTTAACGTGGCCAAGTCGCCCATACACTGAAGTAAATTGTTTACAGTATATTTTTAATTTTACAATGTAGCGAAAAAACTCGGAGACTGCAAAGTATTTTTATTGGGATCTCAGAAATAAAATGCTTGAAATATGAATATTTTATTACTCTTTATTTTTTATTTGAAACCAAATATATACTTTAGTCTGTGCTCGAAGTCTTCGCCTTCGACGTAATGTAGGCACCAAGGAAGTTATATACCTAACGGTAACAGGAATGCTCACAGGTCTAATAAATTGGTCCGAAAGACAGTGAATATTTAGCCGGAATTATCCTTCTAATGACATTGGTGTTGCAATATCGTACTCGCGAAAATACTACTGTATCCAATGAAACTTAAATCTGATAGAAAATAGACCTAAAGCTGTTTTGTTTAGTTTTTTTTTTAATTTTATTAATAGCAAGTAAGCATTTCTGTTACGTCAGGTGTAAGATTTCTTTGGTGGCACACAGTGTTTACAGATCTATCAACTTATCTGTGCAAAAAATAATATTATAAAGTATTTTTTTCTTCTCGAACGAAACTATCCTTCTTCCATAGATAAGTTTGTAGGTGTGTCTTTTTATTGGGCCTTCGTTGTCGTTGTCATAGAGTAGAAAATTGTTATGAAGTAGAATCGTGTTGTGTCGTTGGACGAGTGACTAAGTGCATGTAATTGTTGTTGGTAAATTAAGCAGTGCGCGTGATTTGAAAATTTGTTCGCAATCGTTTAAAGTAATTCACGTTTAAAGTATGTTTGTTTCTTGTTTGAAACATCTTCATATACAAAACGACAGGTTCCTACAAGTGGATCATCCGATCTTAAAATATCGAGATTTGGCGGCTCGGGCAATAAATTATTTTTCATTATTTATTTCACGTCACAAATGGTTTGTCACATTGGTCGATTTACCGATCTCATTTAATTTATTTAACAGATATCAGTTAAACTTTGTACAGTTTAGTATTATTGATACATTGAAGTACCTCTTAAAATCATTATTAGGACATTTCGCAATGCTACTGTGTCAAATTAATTTACAGGCCACAAACAAATCAACAGCCACAAGAATATTAAAAGTATAAAACGATCTTCTAAATATTAAAATTGCACTGCCTGTCTTTCAGTGTACAGTCGCCATCAGAAGTATTGTATAGAAGGTTTATATATCACACAGTTACCTAAAATATCTTATATTTTCTAGCATTCAAAAATATATACATTAAAACTGTGAAATTATTTCATGTTACATATAATTACCTAATGACAATACTTAAAGATTTTCTGTTTAATGACCGCTCTCAGAGAGTATGTTCGTTTGTTTGTAGCAATATCAAAATCTGTCGGCGACAGTACACATTGCGCACTGCTATACGGAATGAAGTAATCAGTATACAATGAATGGTCTCTGAAATGTTTTAACTGTATTTTCATACACGACACTGTCAGTGGCAAGTTTAATGTACAGTGACATAGCATACATCTGTAATACACATACAAGGTAGTATTTTATATTTTTGTAAACATGTCAAATATAATATAAAGCATTTACATTTTAATGGTGACCGTTGTATATATACCGACCGAAGACGCGTTTTGTTATGATCTCGATTGTAAATTGCCGGTGTATGATTTTTGAGAAGTTTTGCGTAAAGAATACTTGATATCATATTAATTGTATTGGCATAGAGTTCGAGATCATTAGTTTATTTTGAAGATTTGCATATTGTCGATAGTGTAATTGAGCAATAACTAGCTTGTATAATTATATTTATTGTGTATATTTCATTGCTATTTACGGTGAAATGTAAAGGTGTACAAGTTGTTGAGTGTAGGTACTTATCAGACATGATTTTATTATAATTAACTTTCTGTACCGCTAGCACGAACCAATATCGAATTCGTATCGTTTGCGAGTCCGAAATGTCATTGTCAAATGTGTACTGATTATTAGTTCTCGTTACGTACTTTGTGCCGCTGCTGTTCAAGTTTCTATACAAAATTTGACATTGACATTTCGGTTTGCAAACTATTGGAATTCGATAATGGTTCGTGCTAGGGGTGGTGTGTCGTAATATTATTTCAATATCGTTAGAAAAATACAAAAAATCAGGGACGGAGCCATATTCTTAGTTTTTATACCTACACCCCCTTTTAATAAACCAAGTCTAAGCTTGGATTAGTTACTCTATGTTTTTCCTTTGTTCATTGAATGACAAATGGCACTTGAGTGATATGAACAAAACATGGCGTAACTAGTCTAAGCTAATTCCTCGTTTATTAATAACGGGAGACAATGCTTACACACATTGTAGGCACAAAAACTCGTGTATCAAGTTTCTCTTATTATTAATTCGTTGCGTGATAATCTTTTGCCGTGCCTATGCCCAGCCGACAGTGGGCACCGATCCACATATCGAATAAAATGAATGATAACGGTCTTGGAATACAATTTTATTGACAACTAGCGGCCGCCCGCGTCTTCGTACGCGTGGAGTTAGTTATTTAGTACCATCAATGAAGGCAAAAAACAGCTACAACCTCCGATTTCGTTGAACTTCCATCGATTTTGATGAAAATTGGTGAGTAGGTGGGGGATACCTTAGGAAACAAAAGTGACATAGTCCCAACTTGCGCTTTTGCTCTGGGGTAGATGCCACCTTTTCTCGGGGGTGATAATTATTTTAATAAAAATAACTCCAGGAATCGATAGAGACAAATTATAAGCAAAATTTGTTCTATAAAGTTTTTGAAATAAATCGACACTTTCTGAGTTATTAGAGATCAAAGATTGTGATTTTTCGTGATAAAAAAAACATGTTTTAAAGCGGTTTTTCATAAATAACTCAAAAACTACTTTTTCTAATATTAATTCAAAGTGAGCTATAGGTGTTACGTATATATTTTTTTCAGCGAGTATTAAATCTAACTATTCTAACCTTTTCTCAACTTTTTCATTTATCAACCGCAATATCTTATTTATAACAATGGCTAATGCGTTTAGTCATAGAAGTTAGTGATTTGAAAAAATAATTAAAGTGCTACAAAAACTACACCTTTATTGTATAACATCTGTCTTGAATTAATTGTCGATTCAGCGGCCCAAGTACTAATTTTGATAGCTCCGTAATCCTATCGCATAGTCAAAATTTCCATGAAAACTAAGCAGCGCCCTTAGCGGACGTAAAAACAAATTGGGTCCTTCAATAAAAAAAAATGATGATGATGAAGATACGTTAACGGAGCTGTCAAAATTCGTGTTCGGGCCTCTGGTATGGTAGTCGCCTAATATGATGTCAAATATTCATTAGATCACACCCAGCGATTTGTATGCCGCTACGTCTAAGTACAGCTTGTTACACATATATCTATATTTCAGAACAATAATAATCTTATTAGCTTAATCATAAGTCAGAAATTAATAAACCCTCATAATTTTATTTCCATGGGATAGTTTCTCATCGTTGCCGCCTTGTATCAGTTAAAAAATTGAATTGAACACCTAATTGAAAGTGAATTATTTTATGGTAAAACATGTTAATAAAACACTTTTTGAACCGGTATAAGGGCGAATTATCATTTTTTTAAATTAGGTATACACACCGGCAAATTAATTTAGCATCGAGCAAAGACAAGGAAGCCTGCGCAGTAGCAATTTCACATACAAAGCCGTCTTCGGCGCAAGTTTACTTGTCTGTGGTTTTGCTCAAGAGATTCACCGCTACCTATATTTTAAAAGTCAGTGACGTTTAAGATTCTCAACAGACTCTATGATAGCAAGACAAATATAAAAAGTTAATAAATCGCACTTATACTTACCGTTTAGTAATGTTTTATTTACGACTGGTGTTCGTGACAACAGTATATGTACTAATATTATAAATGTGAAAGTTTATGCGTTGGTAAGTTTGTTCAACTCAATCACGCAAAAACGGCTGAACGGATTTATGTGAAATTTTTACACACATACAGTTGCAGTTACATACCTGGCTTCAGAAATAGGATACTTTTTATGCCGAATAAATGTAAGGTCCGTGAGGGCCGCGGTAGCATAATTGGTCAGTGCATTCGCCCGGATTGCGAAGGGTGCGGGTTCGAGTCCCGTCTGCTGCCTGATCCGCGTGGAATTTTTTCTAGTTATATTTTCTTTAGATTTAAACATCAAGCAGTTACATGCTTTAAAAATAATAAAAATTATAACTATAATTGCTATTTCTTCTTTCAAAATGTTTAATACTTGTAAAAGTATTCATTTGACATTGTGGGTTTACCTATAATGCGAAGAGATGGCGCTGCCTTGCAGCTTAAGAATAGCTAGAAAGAATTTCGACGCGGTCCGTGAGGGCCGCGGTAGCATAATTGGTCAGTGCATTCGCCCGGATTGCGAAGGGTGCGGGTTCGAGTCCCGTCTGCTGCCTGATCCGCGTGGAATTTTTTCTAGTTATATTTTCTTTAGATTTAAACATCAAGCAGTTACATGCTTTAAAAATAATAAAAATTATAAATGTAAGGTTCTTGAGGGATTAAAAAAAAACTAAAGTTAACCCGGACGAAGTCGCGGGTTGCCGCTAGTTAGAAATAAATATATAAAACACTAGCGGCCGCCCGAGACTTCGTTTCCTTTCTACGTCCTTGTTATCGTACAGGTCGCGGCACGTAACTCCAGCGCTGAACAAAACGCGGCGGGAATAGCTGCGCATGGGTACGACTGGAGCGCCATTCGGCGAAACGCACGCCCAGCCGCGCACCTTGTTTCCCCCCAAAACATTTTAATTTTTTTCTGCGCGCAATACTGCCGTCCTCAAGCTATAACGCGGCTAAATGACATAACCAACTTTTGAGATATGTCCAAAAACGGCTCGTAAACTTAAAATTATTGCTATTTTGTAACCATTTAGCACATGACGGATTTTTAGACTTAAACTATAAAAACGAATACTTGTTAAAGACAGATCGATAGAGTATTAAAAACTATATAAGATGCAATTTAGGTCTGTAAAATCGACCACGTGTCACTTAGCCGCACTTTAGTTTGAGGACGGCAGAATAGCGGTTAGCGCTAGAGTTTCATGCCGCGATAAGTCGCGGTTAATGTTATCACCTATATAAAAAACCTAGTGTAAAACCATCGTAGTAGAAAAATATTTTTGTAAAGTCTTTTATGTTCCTAAAGTAACATCTTATGTGATTTATTAATAGCAGATGATTGCGTTTAAATATTTTTTGGTAATGTTCAATTGGTATTTTTATAGCTGATTGAATATGTGTCTTACAACAGTTTACGAGTATGGATACTAAAAATTGATTGAAGGCATTTTTATTGTAGTTTACACATGCATTGCCCAATCCAGACTTAATGTTTACCCTTCACCAAAACATATGGACGTTAGTTTTACATTTTAGTTTATTTTTATTTTATAAGTAACGATGAGTGTTGCTGATGCATGTCGTCATGAGAAACCTGTATTCTTAATAGGAGGGGTAGACACCAAACATCTTAACTTATATACAGTGTACATTTAAATAATATTTGTAATAATTAATTAGTGTTGTCCCTTTGTTAAAACAACGCTAGTTCTAGAATACAGTTGTGATCTTGATAACAGGTCAGTGATGCCGCTGCTATGCTCCTTTCTATTAAATTTAATCTTTGATGTTAGACTTAGTAAAAAGCTTGGGATCTTGAACATGCCACTCGCTCACTCAATTCTCTCGAAAAGAGAGAAAAATATTGGCTGCTTCGCTTTATCAGTCTAGTTCGGCTTTTGGGACAGGAACCGCTTAGTCTATTCTGTACCCTAAGCACGAAAAAATATCGAATTCAATAAGTTGCTTTCGATCTCGATACTCGTCAAATGTCAAGTAGTTTTGTATGAAAATTTTTGAACAGCGTCACAACGGACGTTACAAAAATTAAAAATCTTCCATACAAAACTTCTTGATATTGGACGCGTATTTCGAATTCGACATTTGTTCAGACAAAGTACTAATATATAATACGAATAAAAACATATAGTACCCCTAGCACGAACCAAAATCGAATTCGAATCGTTTGCGAGTCCGAAATGTCATTGTCAAATGTGTACTGATTTTTAGTTCTCGTTACGTACTTTGTGCCGCTGCTGTTCAAGTTTCCATACAAAATTTGACATTGACATTTCGGTTTGCAAACTATTCGAATTCGATAATGGTTCGTGCTAGGGGTATTATATGTTTTTATTCCCACCTTTCACATACCAAGCGATTAAACCTTTCGGCACACTTGCTTTTTAAGCTTTCGGTGCAAAATTTTTGCCAGTGTGTTTTAGAAGTCCGAACCGCTCGCATTATCCATATATTTCAGTGTAAAATTTTATAAAAAAAAAATGCAAAATTGACCCATAAAAGTGTAAATGACTATTTATCTCAAATATAGTACAGTCAATATAAAGCATTTTTCTATTTTACAACAACTTAAAACTGAATCTTTTCGATTAGCATGGTGGCATGCGCTTGCGCACGTCGAGTGCTTTCTTGTAAATCTTGTTATAATTGATAACATAGTTAATATTGACTACGAATACAAAATTCACTTCTGTCGAAATCTTAAAATAATTTTAAGTCTGCTTATAATGATCATTAATGTTGGTTGTACTACATACAGATTTTATCGAATATTGCTTGATCTTACATTGGTAATGCTTTATGTGTCTTGTGCAATCACTAAATTACTTTATGTCACATAATGTTGCAGATGACATAGATTTTTATTATCTACTGGGCTCATTTATGAAGAGAAAGTTTAAACGCAACTATGTAATTAACAAGTTTCTGAACTATTCGGTTTTTCCTCTCATGAAGGAATACTATACCAGTCAGCAATTTACATCTTGCCTGAATTTCTATATTAGACGTCTTTTTCATCGACAAAGCGATTTAAATAAATTATTTAATTCGTGTCAATAGAATACATTTTACAATAACAATTAGACCATTATTCTTCTTTATATTGTTATTGTTACCTTTAAAATATAAATAAAATTGCACTTATATTTGTACTGCTACAAGTTTTCAACTTACTAGTATGATTTGCCAGTTTAAATTTGACGATTATTTTAGAATATATTTGTCGTAACAAATAAAAGTTAACCTAGTGCCTGTAAAGATTGAAATCGGTAGTAATGAAACACGTCCCAAGCGAATAGGCGAGAAGTGTGATAGTTTAAAGTCGCTGTATCATTTTGTTTTCCATTTAGATTAGATCAAAATAAGACAGTACTAGCGTCTCATAAGTGCGCTGCTAAAATTAGGTCCATACACTTATGTAGTTGAGTTGGATCATTTTATATTTGACGCATGAAATATAAGCATGTCTTATCTTCCCTTTTTGATTTATCTAAGGTTTTACATTTTGTTAGAGTTTTGGGGTTACGTTGGCAGCGGCGGCCTTACCTTTAGTATCACATAGTGTTGTAGGTATATAATATTGGATACGCTTAACTCTCCATATGCGGTACCTGCACTTTCGTTTTATAACAATATACAAATTACAATAATATTAGGGGAACTTGTAATTAATGTATGTATGTATTTTTATGTGCTAGTTATTTATTATTTGTACTTTTGTAGATCAATTCGAATTGACTGCGTTTAGGGAGATTAACATAAATGTAAGTGATCGCACCTATAGTTTAAGGTTTTATCGTAGAAAACGTTGAGGTCGTTCGAAGCTTAAAGTAATCCGATTCTGTGAATCATCGTTTGTACTTCATTGGTCTCCATATTGGTGGTGTGTTATGTTCGATCTACTGAACCAATGGATTTTGCCGTACGCTTTCCTTTCTTTGGTTTTATAGGAATTATGATTAATAAAGCGGGATAATAATACTTAATTGAGTTCCTATACGCGTAAGAAAGAGAAAGAGCGACGGATAAAGTCGTTGGGTAGATGTTATCTTAAGGATGGAGTGAGGGGGATAACTACACGAATTGTAAGTTGATTAAAAAATCGTTAAATTATGATTTAGTTCGAATAGTGTAGGTATCTGCCTTGCTTTATTCAAGATTCAATTTTATTGACCACAGTGGTTAATTATGTAATTATAAATACGGAACTGAAAAAATCTTGCTTTAAAACGTTTTTTTTATAAAATGTCACTAAATATGAAGAAATTTTTATAAGTAAATTATTTTACATTCGTATTTTAAAACTTATTTCAACTCTTCTATCTACGTTACATACGTCATTTTTTTGTTTAAATTAGGTTATTTATCAGAGTTTTCTAAGCAGATTTTCAGTTTCGTTACCTACTAAATTCTCTCGCTGAAAGTATCGTGTGAATAAATTAAGAGTTTCAAATTCGATTAATTTTTATTACCAAAAAGGTTACATAAGAATTTTGTATTTGAATTTAACGATAGAAATACACCGCTTTTGATGCTCCCCTGTTTGTTAAAAAGAGGAATGTTGTATGTATAATGGATGTGTATAGCGAATGATTTGGACTGTGTAAAAATGTAGACGTTTAAAATTTGTCTTTGGTGTATTAGCAGTACGCGAGACGTGTTTGACTGTATCTATGATTTTGTAACCAAAATGTTTGTTGCTAGCAAAACGTCGATAAGTTCGTTTCGCGGTGCACACTGTACAGATTTACTGTGGACTAAACTTAACTTTTTAGACCCACGAAATGAACGAATAACGCTTTTTGCTCAGTGACGTGTCAAATAATTTAGATAAAAACTGCTACCTCTTAAATGCCTGAAACTGTTCACAGTATATTGTCCAATGGGTGTAACATGATGAT